ATTCCTGGTTATACCTCCAGTAGTATACTCAATCACATATCCATTAGTCACTGATGAATTGGTCCAGTTTACTTTGATACTAGTAGCATTTAATATAAACCCTTTCACATTATTTGGAGGACCATTAGGAGCTAGAAAAGAAAAAAGGCATCTACTATTGAATAAAGTATAATCATACCATGTACTATCACAGATTGATTGTATTTGATTCCTCCAATCATTGCTATACAGGTAACATTAACTGACACTCCCAGTGGATCAGGATATACCAGTAGTGTATTGTTGTATGTCAGGACATCAATTGATGTATACATTGAGTTACTCTTCATCACTCCATTCACTAACCAGTAAACATCAGTTGAAGGATTTATATCAGTAGTTGTGAGACAATCAATACGATATTGAGTGTTATTGAGTTGTGTAATGGATGAGACTAGTGTCCAATTGATTGAATTAATAACTAGAAATACATCAACAATGTTACAAGTGCACTTAAAGGTGCAGTAGCAATACCTGGTAAGGTCTGTACACTGATTGTACTAGCAGGTCCCAGTAATTGTTGATAGGCTCTGACTGTGATGTTATAAGTTGTTCCTCCACTCAGTCCATTCAGTGTGATTGTATTATTACTACTTCCCTCCACCTGTACTGTCTGCACAGTGTCTGTGTCACTAGTGACATTGACTACATATCCATCAGCATCAGATGAATCAAGTGCAGTCCAACTGACAGTGATAGTGGTAGCTGTCTTGTTGACCTCAGTAAGAGAAGAGGGAGCGGTTGCTGGTACTAAAAATATTGTAGATACTATTTTAAAATACTATAATTTGTTACCTTTTATAGTCACAGAACGAATTCTATTAGGTTGATCAGTAACTGCCACTACACACTGATACATTTGATCTCCAGTGGTTGATCGACTGATTGATCCACTACTGACAGTCATTCCATCCCATGTGATATTAACAGTATATCTTACTGTGTTTTCAACAGGACCACTTAAATCAATACCACTAGGACAATTATTACTAAATCTATCATCACAATTAATGAAATTAGCCAGTACAGTACTACCAATGCTCATACTAATACCATATTCATAGTGTCCAATTTTAATACAATTCAGTTTGTATTCCTGAGGATATACTGTCATATCAGAAGGAAGATCAGCAATAAAAAATGATATTGTCTGTGCAAAACCTATATATAAATAAAAATTAATTTCAAAGAGTTGTTTAGCATATTTTACTGAATATATTAGCAAAGATGATGGTAGTGTTAGGATCTGAACAATCAGTGGGTAGACAACACTTGTACCAGCCATCACCAGGTGCTTCAAGATAGCCATTAGCTGGATTTATGAAAACACTGAGACTAGCACCTGGCCCAGTAGTACATTGAACATTTGAATTGTTACCACCATCACAAGGAACTACTCCATTAGGACCAATCCATTGTCCACCATTCAGAGTAGCACCAGGTAAACCACACTCTAGTAGAGTCCATCTGATGCTAAGATCCCAAAAATATGATCCATTAGAATAACAGTTTCCATTATGCCTCAAATAGATACCTATACAAAACTATAAATTGTTATACACATCCAGTGTCTTATACCTGAGTAATGTGGACATAGACTAATAACTTCACTAACACTCAACAAAAAGAGCAAAATCACCAATGATACTGACAATGCCATTTTAACAATAGTACAATGAAAATCATAAAAACTATACAAATTAGTCTGCTGTTATTTTTATTAAAATAAAGACAGTTTTCTTTTACATAAGTAAAGTGCATTACAATAATGTCAGTGTTACCATTAAAATTTGTTGACCTTCCCTTTAAATAAGCTATGACAATTCAAAAAATAACATGTTTTCTGTGACAAAGTACATGCATATCACTTAAGTTTTGTATCTAAGATATGCATAAATACATGAGTATGTGAGATAACAAAATGTCAGTTGACATCAGAATTAGTCAGTAAATATACCTGCCCCTTTGCACGGACAGGTTTGCAGACTGTATATTAGTACATGTA